AATTTTGTGGAGAATACTAACAAGAGTCATAGTAAGAACACGGTATGGTAATCATATTGATGTTGATATTGATCATATTGTGGGTCAATTTACACATTCTCCATTTTATTTGGTCATGTTTCTCCTGTTTTTGCCTTAGTTACAAGTTGTTTTTGTCTTACAGATGTAACAAATTAAGATTCTTTCTTTCACTTTTACGATTGCATGTTCTGGTCTTTGCAATTTATTTTTATTCTATGGAAAGGAAGGTGTGGATCAGTTTTGGATGAGGTGGAGTTAGATTAGGTAAATCAGTAAACACCTATAATTTTTTTTAAACATTTAAAATCAAGTTGTGAGACAGTAAAAAAAGGTTGGGAATAAATGATCAACACTGCTCTTAAGAAACACTGTTCTTTGATCTGTTTCTGAAAGTAAAATGACTGTAAGAAAAAAATAATATGGTGAATAATGATCATTTAAATATGCAGCATACAGATGCCTGAACAGAAAAGGAAAGAAATGTCTTTAAAACATGGTGCAACACACCATTTGAGAATGTTTAATTATAGAAAACACGAACTTGATGGAAACAAAAAGGAGAACATAATTACAACATGAATACGGAAGCTCTACTGCAGTGTGAACATAGGCAGAAGAACTCAATACGCATTTATGCCATATACAAAGTTAAGCACACCCACACTAGCACTCGTCCATGAAAGTACAGTTTAAAATAATGTACAGAAAAGTACACAAGATACTTGATAGTACACTAGGAAACCATCAGAAGAAGCAAGTGGTAGACACTATTTATATTTAAAGTAGAGACCTGCTGCCAGTTCATTTTAAATTTCTTTTTATTTTTATCTGACCAACCTGAAGAATGTGAGTATGTCACTGTTCAGATGTACTGGTTAAAACATTAGTATTTTAGACAGATATTAAACATTTAAAGGTTTAATCTGAGCTTTGTTTGTGGTATTTATAGATCATATAACCATAGCATGTTAAGCTAACCGAGTGTGCACTATTATTTTTTCAGTGTAGTGCTAACGTGTATGATGGTTTTTAATCTAAAGAGTATACATCATTATTCTAGCATATATGAGGTTTGTGCAATGTTGAGATGGTATGGCTCTCCACAAGGTGGAGCCATATGGTATATAGGTAAATGAAATCTTCCAGTAGTGATGCTTATGTTAACAGAATTTTGATAATCAAACTTTCAAACTAAAACCTTTAAAAAAATTCTCCCAACTGTTACTAAAATTAAAAGTGGTCAGAATGCATACTAAAGCTATGTATGTGTATGTCACTGCATTTCAGAAGGTACCGGTGAAGTCACGTTTGTATTACCTGACCGTTTTGGATACATGCAAGCACTTAAATGTTACTCTTAATATTTAATTTACACCCAGAAGGTAACAATTAAAAGTTGTGTAAAAACAGCTGAGAAAGTGAAGTCAGTTCACTTCCTCCACAGTGGTAAGACACATAAGTTTGACATAGTTGCAATAAGGTTACAGTACAAAGACCACTAAATGTACAATTGACATCACAGGTTGAGATTTTTTCCATTTCCCTGAGCATCAACTCCAAAGAAACCTTAGCCTCCTTAGCCCTGAAGTTAAAGTTAAATCTGCATAAAACAACTTTAGCTTGAAATGTCAGTGTTACACAATCTCTTTCATGCCCTTCTCTCTTTTTCTTTTACTTTTACTCAGACCCAGTCACAGAGATTACTGCAGTAGGATCAAGTGATTCAGAGTTTTTTTCTATACTTGTAACATCACAGTTTTATTTTTAAATAAAATCCTTCTTTATTTGGCTATAACTATCTGAAATTGTAAAAGCAACCCAAAACAAAAACGAGCCTTTTCTTGATGAAAAAAAAATAATGTCTGTTCATTTTAATCATGACTGGTATTTTTTCAATAACTTCAAAAACACTCTTGAATTTCCTTTGTACTCACTTAGATACATTCTGATATGTGCTATCAAATTGTAATGAAAGAAAAAAAAAGCAGAGATAAAGATCATTATGATAAATAAAGGTACTAAGTACTAAAACAGTAGTTAGCTCTGTGTTTTGATTTTCATGCATAACTGTGTTTTCAAATTATTTTGGTAACCACCCAGTTACAGTCTAGTAGAGCATTAAATGTATTCAGAATTTAGTCATGTTTGCAAATGATTTACTGTAATGTACTGTAAAGTTTTCATTATGTGTGTAAACCATAACCCATTAAGAGTCTGTGATATAACTCTACACACCAAAGAGTTTTATAACCACATAACCTCATAAATTTACATCCTTGTTTAATAATGTTTTAAACTATAGACGGATATTTCATTCTGTTCCAATTAAAATCCACAGGTCAAACAGGATAGTTAAACCAGCCCATTTTAGAGATGAAGAGAAACGTAAGTATAAGTAGTAGGTGAGAAACTTGGTGTGATCACACTATACTTCTGAAAGGAAATGTTTTAAACGGTCTTGACAAAGTTACAGAAACACACCACCTCCTTACAGTTGTAGTTCATGCATTTTACATTTTTGTGCAATTTTCAGCTTACTTGCAACTGATTGGAAACATTTTGGCCATGACCACATCAGCCAGAGCTTGCAGCTTCAAGGACGATCGAGGATGTACATATGCATGCATGTGTGTCTTTGTTTTAGTATGTGACGAGTTTTACACACACCAAAGCTAGCTGGCGCTTCCTGAGTGGTAAACACGAGTGACTGACTGTCCCTGTCTGCTTTCCACCACCCTGTGCTATTTTATACTGACACACACACATCGAGAGTTTCAAAGTGTTGATGTCAGAAAACTCGAAGTATCACGTTTATTACCTGTTTTTAAAAAATACATAAAACTCTCAATTGGGAACACAGGTAACAGTAAATACATGCAGGTAACAGCCAAGCTCACTTATGAAGAAATATTTATATAATATTATCCAGAATAATTTTTAAAACTAAAGATGATGAGATTGAAGATAACATGGAACAACATGACTGACATAAACATGTTGAAGACCCACCAAGCTCGGAAAAAACAGCTCTAAAATTCATTATAAGATTTGAATTTTTGAGATATGATAAAACATGTGAAATACATCATAGCACATACCAAAAAAAGCCAAATGTTAACATTTTTTTAAATACAAGAAATAGATGAAAAAGAACTATATTTAACAAGTACATTCTCTTAGATAATCTCACATTTTTTACAGGCCAGAAAGAAAATATCAAACAGTAATTTCCCCAAAAAAATAACGTTCCACCCGAGTTAACGATGAATTTGAATTACACATTTTATTTGTGTTTTTGGTGTTGCCACATCATTTCCTGTTGTCTTGTTGGTCAGTGTGCAGATTAAAAAAGGGAAGTATAAGAGTTAAATTGTCAAGGAAGTCGTTGAAATGAGGAAGCTTCAGAGCTCCACCGCTTTACTGTGTGTCAGTACTTAAAGTAAAGGTTAACCTGCTTCATCTGGAAAACACAACCAGGATACCCGTGAGTGTAAGCTCCCTGGTTTTATGAGATATTGACAGCACTTTTTTTTTTTTTTGTCAGGAGCTGACTGAATTTAAGATGACCTGTTCATGTATTGCTCAGACTGTTGGAAGTTGATATACTGAAGGGCTGAAAAACTCAACTGGGCTCTGAAGTTGAACAGTGGAACTAGTTCACAACAATATCTACAGTAAGTGTAGTCTTTGTGTCTTCTTTCAAAAACGACTATTTAAAATTTACCAGTAAGCTACATTTGACTGTCTCGTTAACGACAATAATTATACTTCCTCTTTTTTTTACTGTCTTATCGAGGCTTACCATTTCTCACTAACTGCTGACTTGTTTTTGATCAGAAAAAAAAATCTGCCCTACAGTGTGAGATCATTTTCATTTGTTCATTTGTCACTTGCTGCTGTGCTTGTTTTGGGAAGTAATAATTATGTTCAATGAATAATACATTTAAAATCATTTAAGTGATTTGGCCATTGTTTTCTTATTTTACCATTCTAATAGGGTTTTTAAAGAAAAGAGAAAAGAATGTTCTGGATCTCGTGTTATCTACAGCGTCAGATTATCAGGAGGCACTTTTAGTATCTTTTTTCAGCTGTGGAAAATAATAAAATACATTTGACCAAAGTGCTTAATTCCACTTCTGAGCCTAAAAAAAACACCAGACATTTCAAATACTCAGCATGATTTCACTGAAACAACTGTCTCAGCTAAAAACTGATCAAGAAATAAAAATAATTGTGTCTAGCATAGCATTTTTCTTTTCTGGCACGTGTCTTTGGGTTCTTTCCAACTGCATAAGCCATTGAATGACACCACAGAGTTTGGGTGTGACACATTAAAGGATGCCCAGTACTGAAATTTGGATTTAAAAAAAAATATCATCAAATTTATCTGTAAACAAAAGTGTTACAGTTAACTATCTGAACTGTCTTGACAGTGACAGCATTTTAGTGTGACGTATTTATGACATGAGATCCGGGACAGCTTTTATACAAAAGTACTCTAACATTAATTCTATTTTTGAGGGAAATTTATTTGTAGTCCTCGTGTTTCGTTAAAGAAAAGGAAAACCCTACTCCATTTAGTAGCTGTTCTACCATATATCTATCTCTACGTGTGAAGTTATGGATGCTAGATTTAATTGTTTTTTCTGCACATTGAAAGCTATTTGTACATTCCTGCTTAGCAAGTAAAATGATTAAAAAGGATCAACTGCTAGTGACTAGCATTTCATTGAAAACAAAAAATACAAAGTACAACTCAATCAAAAATAACATCAAACAGTCTGAAAGGAAGGTAGATTCTCAAGGAGAGCAGAGTTCAAGAGGTCTGTAGTGTGATGACATTGTCAGGAAATACCAGAAGCTGCTTATTTTAGGTCACAAATGTGCAGCTTATTCCCTTTTAAATTTTTATTTTCAATGTTAGACTGTTGTGCATTACAAACAGGAAAGATTTTGTTAACTGTTAAATGGAACAATGGGGTCATAAAAACAAGGTCAGTGCACTGTCTTAATATCTGCAACAGTTAAAAAAATGTCTAAACCTTGTATTTATTTATTTATTCTTTTATTTAATCGGTTAATCTAAGGTTTCATTTTATAATCACTGTGGTCACTTTACTTTAAGAAAAGCTGGAATTGTCTTGCTGAAACTAATCATGTGCACAGTGATCTGAAAAAAAGGCCTACCAATGATGGTCAGGTTTTTAAGGTCACCATCCTTGCAACTTTTCAGCTGAGTTTTAGTTTTCATTATGTGTACATTAATGGTTGTTGAATTTGAAATGGTTCTGTCTAACCAGCAAAAAAATGTCATACTTTCAGTTGCAGTCTGCATTCAGCATTAAAATAGATTCATATTTCTCTCAAAGAAGGAAGTGGTTTGTCAAAGTTATTTTCTTCCCAAAGTTGATCTATCGCTTGTTGGTGTCCAGGATATACTTTGGTATCTTTAAAATGTTAGTAAAGGCAAATGAATCCTTATATTTTGGTGACTTGGTCAGGTTAGTTCCACATAAGAACCTAAAAACACAGTAAAGACAATAATAGGTGAAAAAGTCAGGAACCTGTCTATGTGGTGTCTTTATGGCTAAAACATGGCCAAAACCTTTGACAGCTCAGACTTATTTCTGACCTTTGTGAGTTCAAAAAGCAATGCTGCTGAAACCCAATGATAACTTGCTTTGTGTGCTTTAGTTTACATTGCAAAGCAGGTAGTCAGCTCTACACGAAAAAAAAAAAGTATCCAAATTTTATAAACACTATCACGTCATGTCTTCTGGGAACTTAAAGTGAGCTTGAGCCATTTAAATATTGTGCTTCAAAAGGTTAAAGTTATTGTTTTTTCAGATTTTGGTTTTCATGCAAAAGAGCAGCTGTGCTGTGCAAATTTAGACAGAGTTAAAAATAACACAAAACAAAAAATTCCCCGGAAACAAAAATACTGCTGTGTTTAAACCGGCAGAAACTAATCACCATTTTTGCATTATGAAAGACTCAAAACACAAAATGGAATACACATTTGCAAACTAAGAAAATCATCACACATGTTGACTTTTCAGTCACCATATGCTGGGATTGTTTATTGTTTGTGATTCGATTGTGGGATTCAGTGCTAAATGATTTATCATGTCATGCAATTCTACTTGAAATCTGTCTCATTTCCTATTTGTTTCCAATTTTTGTTTTTAGGTGAATTTCATCCTAGTGGAAGAAGTTTGTGAAGGGACTTCCTTAAAGGGAGCCACTCACCAAAAGCCAGTATGGCTGACAATGTAAATTCATTGCCATTCTTTTATGGCAATATTACCAGGGAAGAGGCAGAGGACTACCTGCGGCAGACAGGCCTAAGCAATGGCCTGTACCTCCTACGCCAAAGCCGAAACTATCTTGGAGGCTTTGCACTGTCCGTGTCAAATGCAGGCCGTTGTTACCACTACACAATTGAAAGACAGCCCAATGACATGTATGCTATTGCTGGTGGTAAGAGCTACAGAAGTCCCGTTGATGTGATCGACTACCATTCCCAAGAACCAGACGGTCTTGTGTGTCTGCTGAAGAAGCCTTGTAACAGGCCCAAGAACATGCAGCCGAAAGTTGGGCCGTTTGAGGACCTGAAGGAAAAACTCATACGGGAGTATGTAAAGCAGACCTGGAACCTGCAGGTAAGTTTCAGCTCTATTATATAATATAAGAAAACCATATTTGAAATGAGAAGTCAGAACTTTATGGAATACCATAGCAAACTAAATGATGGTTTTTTGCAGTTTGGGCTTTATTTACATTTATGATAAAAGTCACCAACATAATTGTTGAGATGTTAAAAGTGTATTTTACATTTTACACACATTAAATTTTGTTAATAAACCCTAGGCCTAGAAAAAGCATATAATTGCAGGAAGTAAAGAAGGTCAGAGGAAAGTCACTTTGGTCTGTCTCCAATTTTGGTAATAATGTTACTTTGACTTCTTTTAAATAATGCTACTGTGTTACCATATCTTGATCAAAAGGCTACCTTTAAAAATTGTCCTCATTAGTAGACCAGACCAGATAAGACCATCATGGACTCCCAGTAATGTTGAAGGGAATCAACAAAATTTCCATTTAAGCATTGCTCACTTCAGGAGGCCCAAATAGCAACTGATAGCTCAGGTTGTGTTGATGTTCTAGTATCTCCACCACAACAATAGTGGTATCCAATCTGTCTCTTCCATACTGAAAATTCAATAATGATGGATTGGATTTATATAGCGCTTTTCAAGGCACCCAAAGCGCTTTACAATGCCACTATTCATTCACTCTCGCATTCACACACTGGTGGAGGCAGCGATGGTTGTAGCCACAGCTGCCCTGGGGCAGACTGACAGAAGCGAGGCTGCCATATCGCACCATCGGCCCCTCTGGCCAACACCAGTAGGTAAAGTGTCTTGCCCAAGGACACAACGACCAGGACAGAGAGCCCAAGAATCAAACCGGCGACCTTCCGGTTACAGATACGCTTCCCAACCCCCTGAGCCATGGTCGCCCAGATAAATGGCTATCTCAACTATTCCTCAGACTCTGCTGCTTGTGCGTCACTTCTTGTTCTCAATTGCACTTGGATGTATGTACAAAACCACTTCTTAGACAGGCGCAATATGTAAGTCAGCCATTATACCTGGATAAATCTAGAGTTAAAGTGAGTTTTACGAGTGTGCCCTGGGTGGACGTAGGCAGCATTAATCTAGCTTTATATTACAAGTGCAGCTAAGTGTGTTGCCTGTTTGCAGGGTGCAGCTTTGGAGCAGGCCATCATCAGCCAGCGACCTCAGCTGGAGAAGCTCATCGCTACCACTGCTCATGAAAGAATGCCCTGGTTTCATGGAACAATAACACGAGAAGACTCTGAGCCCAGGCTTCAATGTGGCCCGCGTGCAAATGGAAAGTTTCTGTAAGTATTATATTAATTCTCTTTTTATTAAATTATTTGCTGTGTTTGCAGGCAGTAGTATAAAATCCTATAAAAAGCCAGAAGAATAATATCATTCCTCTCATGGTAAAATTTTACACTGCACCTTTTGGTTCTGGTCTGAAAAATAATTGTCTTTTCATGTTTCATGTTCATGATCAATAAATTTTAGAAAACCAGTTAAAACATAGTTTTAAAGAACTGCTTGCGGTTACTACATGGATTGAATTTGAGTTCTATCTGACAGGGTAGAAAAATCTAACTGAAGAGCATTTAGAGTTATGGCTTGGAAGAAAACCTCTTTATGGACTTTACGATTCCATATTTATATTCATAATTTTTCTATTCAATAAAATGAATCACTTGTACAAGTTTAGCTGGGAAACCTGCCACTGATAGTGTGTGCAAATAGTGTGCATTGAATTGACACAGCTGAAGAGACCTTAACCATGATGGAAGACAAAATATTAAAACATCTGTCTGACTCTGGACTAATTGCTTTTAAAATGGCTTTTTTTTGTATTTTTCATACAGTGATTCTCGTGCTGAACTTCTACATTCTTGCCCGTGACAAAATGGCCCTCATGGCACTAGAAAAGACCTTGAAAAATGTAACGAGGTGTTGTTTTACAAACAAATGACATTGGTTTAATGTGGTTTTAATATTTCAGTTCCTCTTAGCTTCACTTTGTAAGAAGTTAGCTGGTAAAAGAATATTATTCAACTACATTTGCATTTTAAAAATATTTTAGTTTAACGTTCACTATGTTCATTGTGTTCATAGCATTCCTAACTGCTAAATAGAGTAAAAAAAACATTACCACATTGGTAGAAATGTGACAAAACCTATAAGTGGTTCATGCACAGTAAATTGTTTTGTTATTTAATATTAATGTATTAATTCATTCAGAAAAGGATGCTTTTGGGTTTTTTGTTTGTTTGTTTGTTTGTTTGTTTGTTTTAACCCTGTAAAACAGTGAAATCAGACTCAAACGTTCAGCTGTTTCAATGACAGTAGAAGTCTTATTCAGATTCATTGTCTTACTTCATATTGCTGAGGTCTGGCCAAAACAGTAAATTAATTCATTATACACACAACACTGCAACATCACCTGGAATTGGACTGAGTCAGTTATTTATTTCACTGTTTTAAAGACAACATCAACAGAGTCTTTTCATTTATTTTCAAGAAAGCCATACAATATTCTGTAACCCAAATCCTCTCAGAACTTGACATTTTAATAACCTCATGAGGTTTGCATTTGGTTTGCCTTTACTTTACCTAACTTAACTATATGTTTATTTCAGAGGAGACAAATGAAAGACTATGGTGAGCAGCAAAAGTAAAGTAAAATAGTAATATTATCTGCAGCTTTACAAAATTAGTGAGCAAAAGAATACAGTCTCAGACAACTTACAACATCCAAATACTGAAGAAACACAAGAACAAGCAGGGCAAGTACAGGACTGAAACTAGAACTCCTAAGATTGTGCAGTGTCATCCTTTTTTGTTGCATTTTCTGAGTGTTATCTCAAGAGCTGTGAACTCAAGATCAGTGAAGTGAGAAAAGAAAAAGCAAAGAAATTATTAAAGTTGAGGGTAGCTTTTTTCCCTCCAGGAGCTTCTGCCTTTCAGAGATAGCAAATGATTAAACTCTCACAATGACACGAAACTCAGTTCAGTTATGTGTCTGAGAAATAGGTTGGGCAATGAAAATATTTAGAAATTTCCTTTCCCCTGGGGCAGAACTCTTGAGTATTTCCTATTGAGTAGTTCTCTTATGTAACTTTTATTCTCAAAAAGGTGGAGAATAGATGAAGACTGAAAGATACATATTATGTCAATTTGTTCGTTGTTAAAGTATTTTTTAAATATGATTTTCTAATATGATTTTGTAATGTAATTAATACTGGTTCTGCAAATGAAAAGAGTGGTTGTAAGCTGATTGTTACTAACACACACACACACACACACACACACACACACACACACACACACACACACACACACACACACACACACACACACTACCAACAACGATTGTTCAATTTGATCTTGAACAGATGTTTGCAATAATTAATTTACTATATTGTTTTATGCTCTAAACATTAACAATAGTGACTTATTGCGATTCAGACCATGTCAACAGCAGACCCCAAGCAGAACAATGCTGTGTTCCCTCTACACAGCAAGATTTTAGAATTCTAGGTTACAAGTATAAAGTAACTGTGTGAGTAGTGAAATACATCAAATTCTACAAATGCAAGCAGTCTAAACAAACACAGCTATGTTAGCACTGTATTGCTTCCATTCCATCTTATTACATTTCATTTGTCAAATGCATAAAATGTCTTTTTGCTTTGAAACCACTGAATAAAGTTTGTAAAGTATTTATAGAACCTCAAGCTTCAGTTGAACGGCTGTGGTCTCGCTTGAAGAAAGAGAGGAACATACACATGCACACACACATACACACACATACAGACACAGAGAGACACAAACACACAAACACACTGTGGTTTCCGCTCTGGCAGTTTGCAAAGGACTTCCTGAAGTAGCCAAACAAGAGGGAGACTAACAGCAGGGCAAAATGTAACTGTTCTGTCCCTTCTCTCATGTAACATCTAGCAGGAAACTTACTTTCCACTGAAACACATCATCATGTTATGCTTATGTCTCTAAATTTTATTGAAATTTTGTTAAGAGTGAATCACATACTGCACACATAGCATTCTGGAGCACAGTTATTGATAATAGCACACAGGCTATTAGTTTTACTTCCTGTTTAGTTCTCCTTACTTCTTATTTACTGTAATGTCTCCGTGTGATGAGGTTTTTTTTAAAAATGCTAGTCCATGAAAAAAGTTGCACTTAGCCACAACTTATCACATCTGACACAGTATGTGGTAATAGGCGGGGTAACATGATTTCTCAATTGAAAATTCAGACTAATATTTGGTTTCATTGTGCTTAGTGAGCCATCGTAGATAAATAAAAAGCAATACAGACGCAGCAGTGGAAAATATTCATAATTTTCTGAATTAAAGTTGTAAATTTGCAAAATAAATAAATGAAAACAAACAGAAAAATATACAAATTCATGAGTTCATTCATGAGCACTAGGATTTTAGGCCAATTCAGTTTAGTATTATTGGTATAGCCTCAAATCACAACAGTTGCCTCAAGGTGCTTTCTATTATAAGGTAAAGACTCTACAATAAGTAGGATTTTTTTTACATTTATAGACATTTTTTCTTGTGACCTTGAAGTATTGTGCGTGAATAATGTTAATACATCTTGAAACTGTAAAAAAAGATATTCATTGCTTTTGCGTTCCATAATAGCTATCAGATGAGTTGAAAAACCACCTAATCACTGATTCACAGTTTGCAGTCAGATGTGAACATTTTTGTAGTTATTTAATGGTATATATGTATATAATGAACTACAGAAACAAAAACCGTTTCAAACGATTCTCCCTTTTTTTTCTGTGTGAAGGATTCGGCAGAGAGATGCGAATGGATCCTATGCTCTGTGTTTACTGCATGAAGGACAAGTCATGCATTATCGTATTGACAAGGACTCGGCTGGCAAGCTCTCCATTCCAGAGGGCAAGAAATTTGACACCTTGTGGCAGGTAATCCCAGTGTGCTTTATATTTATGGGCTACTTAGAACATTTCAACAATCTTAATCTGTTTGAAATTGTATGATGTATTACAAGGTGAGGTGGTAAAACTTATGTGTGTACTCTGCCTACACCTCTGTTTAAACACAGCTGGTGGAGCACTACTCATACAAACCAGATGGTCTTTTGCGAGTACTAACAGAGCCCTGTCCAAGGCCTGATGGAGATATTGGTGAGAAACACAAACACAACTAATCGAAATGTGTTTACAGCAAGACTTTCATTGAAAGCAAATTTCACTGCATGTTAACTAATATCTAATAATCGAAACTATAACACTGTATACACAGCTGATTAACATTTGTCTTATTCCATGTTCACAGGGCTGATAGGACGGCCTTTTCTTCCACCGGGCCATCCTAGACTTGGTTCTGCCATTGTAAGTTCCATCTATGTGCATTAATACATTCAACTGAAACAGAAATGCTGGTTAAATTGGCCTCAGCAGTCAGCCTGTATGGGTTACCATTAACCATTACGACACGGGTTGTTTTTTATTATTAGAATGATATGGCTTCTTCAGGAAGCCCTGTATGGTAAAACAAACATAGAAATGTTTCTTGTAATGTGTAGATGAATGTGTGTGTCAGACGACTTCACACATCCTCGTTTGGAGCTATTTTTCCCATTAATCTTTTTCCTATTGTAATAATTTCATGCATGATTTTAATATTACCATTAATGATAACCTCTCTGACATTTTGATTTTTAGCAAAGTGCGACAGATGGATTTTTCACCATCATCAGTAAAGTTCCCGGCATAAAAAAGGTGCATTACACACATCCTGTTTCCTCAGTCATAGTTGCTCACAGCAGTGTGTAACCTCCACCTTCCTTCTACCTCTGCACTTCTTCACTAATGGAATGTGGATTTCTATTTACTAACTCTTTCTTGCAATATTAGTCCTTTGAATTATGTCCTTTCTAATCCCTCTGATAGATCTCACATCCAAGTAAATAATGGATGTCAGTGCACACAAGCTTATTGAATTGGTGTGACATCTTAGTTGGTGTATTTGTAATTATGTTTTAACACCATCCAGAGGTTACCCAGTGCAATTACATTATAGAACCACAAGCAGCCATTTGGTAGCTTTCTATATGTGCTTGTGATAATATTGTCCACATGTAATGTTCCATCCTTTAAAATCCCTCTGCCATTTTTTCTTTTGTTTTGTTTTCTTTTTTATTCTTGTTTTTGCCTGGCTTTGTTACAGTTAAGTTTTGGATCAGATGTCTTTTTTTCTTCCCTTTTTGAATCCTGCAGTTTTATCTTGTACAGTCTTCTTCCTAATTTTTTCTGAGATTTTATGCTTGAGATGTTTGAGAGTCAAAATACCCCCTGACTGTAAACTTGTCTTAAACCCCTTCTTTGAAATCATGTGTTCACTTATTGCAGGTTACTTTCAGCAGTAAGTGCTATTTAGCTATACTTCATGCATTCTCATAATGAATGTTCTTTAACACTGTCTCCTCTGATGATAACAGAACCGACCATCTCGTCCCAGGCCTCCAGATAACTCCAATCCTTATGAAACTAGGATACCCGGTAAAGGTAAAGGTAAGACTGCCTTTGTCAAACCCTATATTGATGTACTGTTGTTCAATTGCTAACTTGCTTGTGCATGTTCCATACTGTGTAAATATTATTTAGCATAGATTCTATGTCATGTTGGGTGTAATCTGGATTGCAGAGAAAATGTACGCTATGCCTTCTGATGATACTGCCTAAAGGAAGCATGTATAATGTAAAAGGAATTAATCTTAGCATGAAACCCTGTGGAACTCCATAAATAACCTCAGTGTGTGAAGAGGACTCTTCATTTACATGAACAAATTGGAGTCTATTAGAAATATATGATACAAACCACTGCAGCATAGTACGTGTAATACCTACAGCGTGCTCTAATCGCTGTAATAGAATATTATGGTTAACAGAATCGAACGCTGCACTGAGGTCTAGCAGGACAAGCACAGAGATGAGTCCACTGTCAGAGGCCACAAGAAGATCATTTGTAACCTTCACTAAATCTGTTTCTGTGCTGTGATGAGCTCTGAAACCTGACTGAAACTCTTCAAATAAACTTTCCCTTTGCAGATGATCTGTTAGCTGTTTGATAACAACTCTCTCAAGAATTTATTTGTGATGAAAGGAAGGTTAGAGATTGGCCTATAATTAGCTAAGAGAGTTGGGTAAAAACTGTTACTATTTTAAGTAAAGGTTTAACTACTACCAGCTTGAAGGCCTGTGGTACATAGCCCATTATTAGAGATAGGTTGATCATATTTAAGATTGAAGCGTTAATTAATGGCAGGACTTCTTTGAGCAGTCTTGTAGGAATGGGGTCTAAAAGACATGTTGATGGTTTGGAGGAAGTAATTACGGAAGTTAACTCAGAAAGATCAATTGGAGAAAAAGACTCTAAATGAATACCAATGGTACTGAAAGTAACTGTAGATAATATTATGTCTGTGAGATGGTTACACGCAATATTTCTCTAATGGTGACAATTTTATTTGTAAAGAAATTCATCAAGTCATTAAGGTTAAACGAATGGTTGGCTCAAAACAAACTTGTTTTCAGCCTGTGCTTAAGAGAAACCTAAGGTTGTCCTTATTTTCTTCAACCAGCGATGAATAGTAAGATATTCCAGCTTTGTGAGGGCTTATTTTTAAATAAAGCAGCAAACAATTTTTCCAGACTACGTAATTATTTTAATATCTCTAGCTTACTAGTTATTGGTTTTAAAGGTGTGTATTGAGAATTATACCAGGGGATCAAGTATTTCAGACTCCCTGGTATATTTGAGGGGGGTTTTTCTGGGGAGCTACAGTATCCAGAGTTGTATATCATGAAGATGTAAAGAAATGAAAAAGATAACTGACCTCTGTGTGAGTACCGTTCACGTAGCTGCTCTGTGTAACAAAAGCATACAACAAACGGGACAAAACACAAGCAGACAAAAGATAATCACATGCAATATTGGCATATGAATCTATAGAGAGTGAAAGGAAAGTACTTAGTGCTGTCAGCAGACTAGACCTAACCAAGAGAGCATCCAGGTCACCTGATCCAGACCAAAAAAGGAAAGCCTCTCACTACGACTCCATATCAATGAGACAAGACAAGGGATACTTTTAATTTTTGTTTGTTTAACAAAAACCAAGACTATTCCTTTACCCTGAAAATGTAACTCGAGATGACCAGTCTTCAAGGAAAATTAGGATGAACTTTAACTTGAATCTGTCAGAAATGACAGATTTTTTGGATTACAGTAATCGGATTTAAAAAATGCATTTCTTTTCACTTTCAAATGAGTGATGCTAAAGGTACAGTACTCCTTCAATATTTTTTCCAGTACAATGTTTTTCAAAAATAAGTAAAATCAGTTTTATGCTTTCATATAGGGGACATACTACACTGTTAGAGAAAACATCTTAAAAAAACAGTAATATTCCGGCAGCTGGGGCGCCAAAATAATACCGTAAATTAACAGAAGATAACTTACTCATAAAAATACGGTTATTTCCATTAATGAAAATACAATTTGTTGCCCTAATTTTACATGGGATTTTACCTTTTTCAAGTGCTTTGAAACATTAAATTTGGAACAATTTAATGAAATTACCTATAAACAAGGTCAATTAATGTGGCAATATGAATAATAATATTTAAATATACAGAAATATACACTTAACAGTTGGTTTAAATAATAATGGACTGCATTCATATTGCGCTTTTTGAGACCCTCAAAGTGCTTTACAATTCTACTTTATAATTCCCCTCTGGCCATCACCAGTGAGTGGTAGGTGAAGTGTCTTGCCCAAGGGCACAACGACCAAGAGTGTCCGAGCCGGAGCTCGAACCGGCAACCTTCTGATTATAAGGCGAACTGCCAACTCTTGAGCCACGATCGCCCTAAATAGCAATGATAATAATAATTATTTGATGTAAAAAAAAGTTTATAAGAATCATTTTATATATTTTTCCATAGCATTACATTTGAATTTAACAGTTCAATCTTTCAAATAACGGACAAATATTTGTGAAATTATGATACATTTGTGAATGTATTTTAACAATCTAAATATGCATATGTACAGACAAATACATTTAAAAAACAAGAAAATTGTGTTTTATGACATTACAGTGATTTTACGTTAATTTACACTTGAAATGTGAAATCACAGTCTATTGATGTAAATTTAATGATATTCTAGAAGAACAGTACAAACTGTCGGTGCTGTGCTTTTTGGAAATCGAATTTCCCAGAGGAACCCACCCGAGGGATTAATAAAGTTCTATCTTATCTTATCTTATCTAACTGTAAAATACACAGTAAAATCCTTTTATATTAGGATTTTCTTTTACAGTGTAGACAGATAGATTATGATAAATCTGAATAGGGAAAATCTACCTGAATAACGAGCTATTATTTTGGCTAGAGAACATTCTAAACTTGTAAAATCCAAATTCACATGTTTTCATTTAATATTTCACTGCTTCCTAATTTTGACATGTTGAATTCTTCATCAGAGGCCATGCCAATGGACACAGAGGTATATGAGAGTCCTTATGCGGATCCAGATGAACTGCGGAGTTCTACAGTGGATCGCTCACATCTTTTCTTGGAGGATGGAGAACTGGGCTCTGGGAATTTTGGTACCGTCATGAAAGGCACCTACAAGATGAGAAAGTATGCTACATTAAATCATATTACTACATGCAAACATTGCACCACAATGCTTTGTTAAATGATCAGACTTACAAATTTAAAATATTCTCCCTATCATAAATGATATTTATGATTTGCTGACTGCAGCAGGCAAACTCACTGTCAGTGATTCACTGATATAACCCAAAAAATAAAACATGAGTTCAGCACATCTTGTTTCATTGTTTTCCCAAAGAAATATTCAATCGGTTATTCAAATTCCAAAAACACACAGCTCATATCATACAAATCAAAACCAAGCAAAGCAAAGCAGGACACAAATATCACAGTCTTGGTCCTGGTTTACCTTATTGACAGTTGTGTCTATTGATATCCGTACCACTATGTTGTTTTGCTGATGATGAATGTTGACTGTGGATGAGTCAAAATGTCTGAAAAATGCATTTCTGTTGTAGTAACATATTAATACTTACACTAATCCATGTTGCATATCAGGACAGAGAAGACAGTTGCAGTTAAAGTCTTGAAGAATGATGATAATAACCAGTCAGTACGTGACGAAATGCTGCGGGAAGCCAATGTAATGCAGCAGCTGGACAATCCGTATATTGTCCGGATGATTGGTATCTGTGAAGCAGAGAACCTCATGCTAGTTATGGAGCTGGCTGAGCTGGGACCCCTCCACAAGTTCCTGCAGAAAAATAAGTATGTACTGCGACTTGGCCTTGCTCTTTCTTCAATTTGGTTTGTTTGAACATTGTTTTTTTTTCTTCACATTAATGCAAGTACATTATGATAGAGTCTGAATTTTTATTTATAAAGGTACTGTTTTGTGGTAAGTTACTTGAGTTATTCTACAAGTAACTCAAGTAACTTGTAGAATAACAAGTTATTCTACAAGTATCTACATTAGCTGCAAAAGAGCACTACACAGTAGCAATTAGAGCTTGCAATATTCACATCAGCTAAGATATGTGCAAATGTCTGTTGAGAAACACATCCTATCCAACGCCGTACTTCTCCATTCTCTGTTTCAGTGTTCTCTGAAACACCTACACATCCCATTTCACTCTTAATCAAAACTCTAGTATTGTGGTCAATATTGTAATCTGCTAGTTTAGGAGATTGAAGTGACAAATCACTTTTTTCTAAATGTGAAGTTATTTATATGTTTTAGTTTCAAAATAACAGTATATAAAAAAATCAAAGATTTCAAAATACAGTTCTCATATTGTGTGAGGTTTATGGTGGCTTTTAGAGTTAAAGTAACAACAACTCATCTCCAGGCAAACGGCCATAAAGAATATCACAGAGCTGGTCCATCAGGTGTCTATGGGGATGAAGTACCTGGAGGAGCATAACTTTGTCCACAGGGACCTTGCTGCAAGGAATGTACTGCTGGTCACACAGCACTATGCCAAGATCAGTGACTTTGGCCTCTCTAAAGCTGTTGCTGAGGATCAAAACTACTACAAGGTAACATATGGTATAGGATGACACGTCATCTGTCCTTATACTCTCAAAAAGCCTTGATGGTCCATCTCTATGAATGTCTTAGATTTTTCCCAAAAAGTTGATTCTGTTCGTGAGGACGTAGCGTTTTCAGTGAGAGAAACGTTTTGTCTAAAGAAGTCACTTTGATGACTGACAAAATATTTCTCCCACTGAAAAAACTGTCCTCATGAACAGAATCCCACAAACTTTTTGGGATTTCCTTATCTTCATGATTGAGCATGCATCAACACTCTTAGATTTTTGTTTAAAAGTAAGTCACTCTCAATGAAAGTGTTACTGTAAAGCAGGGGTAGGCAACTCCTGGCCTCAAGGACTGTCCTGCAGGTTTTAGATGTGTCCTTGATCCAACACAGCTGATTCAAATTGCTAAATGACCTCCTCAACATGTCTTGAAGTTCTCCAGAGGCCTGGTAATGAACTAATCATTTGATTCAGGTGTGCTGACCCAGAGTGGGATCTAAAACCTGCAGGACACCGGCACTCGAGGCCTGGATTTGCCCATCCCTGCTGTTAAGCATTAAAATAACTGTAACACTAACACCAGTCAATCTGCCTTACTTGTATCTGTTATCATATTGTGAACACTACTGCCAGGAACCAGTCCTAATCATTGTGTTATTTGAAGCTGCAAAATGACCAGTGTGGCATGAAATTAAAACTAGTTATGTTTGCGTGTCTCTCCCTTTAGGCAAAAGGTCATGGGAAGTGGCCAGTGAAATGGTACGCGCCTGAATGTATAAACTACTTCAAGTTCTCATCCAAAAGTGATGTGTGGAGCTTTGGGGTGCTCATGTGGGAGGCTTACTCCTATGGCCAAAAACCATACAAGGTATTATTATTATTGAATATAAGGAGTTATGGTGACACATGTAACCTCACTCACTCACACATTGTGTTTTTGTTTGAATATTAGTTTAATATTCAAACAGCTGTTGCAGCCTTTATTTTGTTAATTTTTATTCTTTATAGTTGCTGTCTTATGTAAACTAAATGACTACAAAACAAATGTTTCAGATTTGTTTAGTTGTAATTTATAGAATAATTTTGTAATGTGTACTCACTGTCTACCTATGAAATCTTGACCTATGAATTGCATGTATCATAATGATCTTGGCACGGTGGTTAGCACTGTTGCCGCACAGCAAGAAGGTCCTGAGTTCAATTCCAACATCAGGCCGGGGTCTTTCTGTGTGGAGTTTGCATGTTCTCCCCATGTTTGTGTGGGTTCCCTCCGGGTACTCCGGCTTCCTCCCACCGTCCAAAGACATGCAGCTTGTGGGGATAGGTTAATTGGATAATCCAAATTGCCACTAGGTGTGAATGAATGTGAGTGTGAATGGTTGTCTGTCCCTGTGTGTTGGCCCTGCGACAGACTGGCGACCTGTCCAGGGTGTACCCCGCCTCTCGCCCTATGACAGCTGGGATAGGCTCCAGCGCCCCCCGCGACCCTGAAAAGGATAAGCGAATGGATAGATGGATAATAATCTTAGTGTGTGACTTTAGAATTATGTACTAACCTTCTTATTGCTATTAAAAAATAATGGTTGCAACACAAAAATTATGACTTTGATAATCTCTATGCCTTTACATTTTAATTTATTTGATGGCGTCTTATTTGTTCTGAATTTTTAACTCCTTACAGGGAATGAAAGGAAATGATGTCCTGCAGATGATTGAAAGTGGTAAGCGTATGGACTCCCCAGAGAAGTGTCCACTGGAGATGTATGAGCTCATGAAGACCTGCTGGACATATAAGTAAGTAACATGTTCATCATAAGGCATTAGCTGAACAAACAGCAAACCGGTTTATGTTTTATGGACATCTTTTGTGATTATTGCATGTTATTTTCATGTCTTCCAGGGCAAATGAGAGGCCTGGATTTAATGTTGTTGAGCCAAGACTACGAGATTATTACTACGACATTGCACAGTGATTGCTCACTTGAATGTTATGAGACTATGCAAACTAGTGGCTGATGATGAAAATGAGCTTTTACACATATTGGTTCAGAGATTGTTATGGATAATAAATGCTGTAAAATATAGACTTTAACTGGAATATATTCTCTTTTAATATAAACTCTGATTATGCAAATATAATTCCTATTACATTTATTTGTTCTTGAATGTAAGCCATATGAAAATGATAATAAACTGTTACAAGTCTATCTTATTTCACGGCAATCACTGATGTTATACCTAAAAACTACATAACTTACTGTTTTCCTATAAGCTTCCTAATATCAACATACAATCCGACCTTGTGTAAGCATCTTCAGCACTCTGAGTTTCTGTACTTGCATAAACAATTCTAAGATGAATAAATTACATTCATATGCCTTCAAATTATTTTATATATATACATTGTCAAAGTCAGTGACCAAGTGGTTGGTTGACATATAAAACATTAGAGTAACTCAAAATCTGACGAAGGATTTGCTGCTATTTTGCGCTTTTGGTTACCTCAGCTAAGAGCAATAAAGTAGAACAATTCAAATGGATTGTTGAGCCACTTCCTGAACAGAAAAACATCGGCAAATAAATGACTAGAGCTAGAGCTTCATAAATGCATTACAAATCTTTTTCAAAAGTAAACCTATCTATTTAGGTACGAGAATCTTAAGCCTCTATACCTGGTACAGATGATTGTAGCAAACCAGAACAAATTACTCTAAAGAACTGGTGGAAATGAAACATGGCAGCAACACATCACACAACCCTAGGATTCTGATTAAAACAAGATGTTAACAAAGGTATCAACAACTCTCTCTGTGCCACAGAGATTGGAAGTGAAGAAAGATGATGAAGCAACTACAATGCCATCTTATGATGTGATATTTGTTTTTTTCTTGGTTACAAGTACAGTTTTTGGTAGTAAAGTTATATGTAAATCTGTAACAGTTCAAAAAGAAAAAGACATGGCATCAGATTCAAATCTGGAAGTTACTGAGGCCTTTTTAATCAGAGAATTAGAGCATTGCGAACACAAATGACACCAATAAAAGCCAACAGAGGGAGATGGTTAACAGAGGATTGGAATGCTAAGAATGTCTGCTTATATTACCTACAGATACATACTGTAATGTGAAAGACAGACTATCTGCTCTCTATCTATATCAAATGTTTAAACTGAGAAACGCTAGGTCAAGGACATGTTTATCTTTAGCTCCACCTCCTCTTGATCTATAAATATGAGTGAACTGAGGAGACCAGTTGCTGGAATATTGGCAGAGGAATATTGTTCTGATATAGGATTCTAGCTGCTCAACAATCCCAGTTCTTCCATTTTTGTATCATGATACACCAGATGTTTTCCAACTGGTGAAAGGTCTGGACTGCAGGTGGGCAAGCTGGGTACCCAGGCTCTTCTACTATGAAGTCAAGCTGTTGTTATAGATGCAGTATGCAGTTTATCATTTACTTGTTGAATTATGCAGTGCCTTAAGTATATGACCATAGCTTTACAAAATCACATCTGGCAAGGTTCAAGGTAAATAATCTTCCCGTAAACAACAAAGATGACTGTTTTCAGATGGTCAGACAAGGTAGATGAGTAAGCAACCACACTTTATTGTGTACCATGTTGTAATCCACTGAGCTCCTGAGAGTGACTTATTCTTACACAGGAGTTTGTGGAAGCAGTCTGCATGCCTAGGTGTTTGATTTTACAAAGGCAACCAGGCTAAGGGAGGGGCAGCTATCTACCACAGCCAGTTAGTGACTTGACAAATCACTTCAACCTGGAGACTACATTAAAGAGGATGCACAATACTGCCATCTTGTTTCCAGAGTTGGCTATTGTCGCTGAAAGCTGCATTTATTTTACGTTTCATCTCATAGCTCTGGCATCTCTGCCTCTGAGGGCTTGCTGTCGGTCTCCTGTTAACAATAACTGGAGCTAGGCAAGCTGAGAGATCAGCAGCTTGTTTTTGGTGGTTTGCGCATCCACATTGTGGATAACCCTCTGGTGTTTTATGGTAGACTGATGGGAAAAGAGAGTGCCAGGCAAGCTGCTGCTGGTTTCCTTTCACTGTTCTGTCATCAGTTACTAGCAGTGTGGAAACACAGTAGCAACTCAACAAGTTTCAGAAATCTGCCATCATAACAGATGAGTTTCATCTTGTTAACCACATTGATGAAGCAGGAAAAACTTGTTGCAGGTCCAGGCTCATCAGCACTTTCAGATTAACAGATTAATGAGAATGACTGAATGGAATAAGGGGTAAGTTGAATCTGAAGATCCTTAAAGCACGGTCAAATGTTAAAACTTTTTGCGTAACTATTTATGGAGTAAAACTGTGGAATAGCTTTACTGCAGAATTACAGCAATGCTCAGGAATTGGCAAGTTCATAAAGACACTTCGAAAATTACTTTTGGAAGGATATGATATTGAAAAAGACAATCACCCATTGTATGTATAAATATGTCAACTCGTATTGAAATTATAAATATCGTGCCAGCCTTGTTGATATAAGTTTTCTTGTGTATTGTGTGGAGTATGTGATGAGGAGAATTAGGTAAATATGTGGGATTAATAAGATGTTGAGCAGGGGTAGGAGTTAATAAGTATGTGCATACTTCTTCCTACTCCTTTTCAGACCAAACAACTGTTATCTCATGTTAGACGAATGTGTTTTATTTTATTATATTTCTTTCTTGTTTGTCTGTACAAATACGTGTGTGTGTATATATCTACACATATATTCGTATTCGTAAATGAAAATACATGTAGACGAGTATATATTGTTTTTTTTGTTTTTTTTTATTATGTCTGAAATAAATAAAGATACATACATACATACATACATACATAAGCTTAACCAACTGTTTTGGCAATTTTCATTTATATTTTGAATTCCCTGTGAATATTAACCTGTGGATACTGACCACATCACTCATTCCTCATGCCATTTAATTCAGCTGATTTTTTAAAAATTATATATTAACATACTTTTTGAAAAATCAAGATGTAGACCTGTGTTTCTGAGTTCATGAACAACTAATTCTTTTTCACAGATATTTGGTCCTTAAAGGACAGTCACTACAAATGTGATATTTAGAATATGATGCTCAACATTAAATAGAAATAAAGTATTTAAAATGGAATTAAACTTAAACATAGCACAACAAGCAGTGATATTAATCTGGCACTGCCTCAGGATATCACGTTGCATGCACTAGAATGCAAAGCAATATCCCTTTGCACTCTTTTGAAATGGACTAATGAGGTACATACACCCAGAGTTTTGTCATACTCCATATGCTGCTTTTGAGTTTTAGTGAGCCAACTGAAAAATAATTTCCCAGCAGCTTTTTGACACCAACAACTGGGTATGCTCGTCCTCTGTGTGAGTGTCATGACTCACTTAATATAGTCTATATAATATAATATATATAATATAGTCATTAAGAGATTAGGAAATATCAGTGCTACATTGGGGTGCACTATTTGGCCATCATTATTACTTAGTCAAAGGCTGAGTGTAGAGTATGGTCCTAAGATTGGTCCAGTAGAAATATTTTCCAAGGAGTGAACCAGCAGGGGTCTCCTGAGAAGGGCTCACCGTTTCCTCCTCCCCTGAGTCAGTGTCAGACAACCCCATGTCACAGCTGAGTGCAGCACAAACATCACATGTCCTTAGCAGTTATGCGTGCATGCCTAAATAATACCCCATTAAATTATTATTAACTTGTTGGCCAAACTGTTCCCAGAATTAAGGGATGTGCCAGCTGGGAGCTAACCGTGCCACTATAACACTTATGACTACAAAGGGAACCCAGCAGAACACACAGACAGAGACTCTGAAAGGGAATTTAATGCAGTCTATTTGCAATGGTTTGTCTTTGTGAGATTTTGTTTCCAAAAAGCTCTTGGCTGATGATTATTTGTTTGCACATATGGCCTAATGCAGTTCCAGAGTTGTTCGTAGAGCACAAACAAATGAATATAAGAAAATACTGATAAATCATGCATTTATGCATCAAACATTAAAGTTTGCACACACATTTGTGCATATGCACTGTTAGTGAAAGGCGAATTCTGGGTTTAGATGGGACTAATGCAATGGTGATGCAACACTCCCACCATCAGGTCAAAATAAAAGTCAATATTGTGCTTACATCAAAAGGTTTGATCAAATCTACAATGAGATTTTTTTCAATATAGTCTGACAAAAGAGTGTTTTTTTTTTAAAGACCTCTGGACATTTTAACATTGTCAGTGCTCTCTGTATAGTCTCTAGAAAACTTTATGACACCCCTTCTAAGTGAACTGCAGTCAGTGCTGCATATGCTCATAATCCACATACAAACTAAACCTGACCAAAGCATGTATGGCATATAAGTCCTTACCTCGTTTTATTCACTATAAGTAGAATTTTGCTATAATAAAACTACTTTATATTAGTCTGGCACCAATAGAGATAAAGATTTCAGGGCTTTCAACTCCAAAGTGTAAAGCGCAGTTTGGCTGCTCTCCAAACATTACAAATGATCATAGCAGAAGCATCCAGAAAAAACGTGTCAGTTCTTGGACTTTGCTACTGTCAGTCTGAAGCATGAATATGGACATTCATTTCATTTTTATTACAGAAGCAGAGCAGAAAAACTTTGGCTCTTTGCAAGCATCTGCACAGACACCTGCATGCTAACGCTAAGCTAGCCAAGAAGCCAGGTCTATGCTAAAGCTGAGTAAATGCCAAACCAGCAGCAGAGCTTGACCTTAACAGGTAACAAGTGGATGAGCAGTCAGGCATCTGTTTCTACCTGTTCATGTTTTCATCCTCGCTTTGCTTTTGCATCTCTGGCAGCTTTGTGTTCATACCTAACTACTGGAGTACAAAATCATGTCTCTGTCCTCATTATAATAGGGATTTGTGTTATTTTATATTATTGGTAAATGGTAATTATGTGACAGTGCATTTCAGGAAATTTTACAGAGTAATGCAAAAGTAACATAACAAGTTGTACAATGAATTAATGTATCCTGGGCGTAATTAAATAACATACTGCATTACTTTTAAGAGAGGTGTTCTGTATATTATGTGCACTACATTCCATTACCAACACAAACATTTGACCACATAGCATGTAATTCGTTTGCATGAATGTAGAGCTAATGAGAACCCAATGAGAATCAATAAGAGAATCACTCATAGAATCAAATCAATAAGTGATCTTGATAACAGAATCTAAATTGCTATATTCTTATCAATTCCTGTTCAATTCATGCTTGGTTTTCAAACAGGCAAGTTCAAAAGATGCAGGCCCTACCTGGTTGGCCAAATGCCCCCACTTTAATTAAGTGTTTTGCTAATACACTAGTTATACAACTTTTCATTTGAATTTTTAACCTCCTAGGACCTGGGTCCACATATGTGGACATCACATTTTGGGTTGTCTAGACCAAAATACAAAATTTTGCTTTACAGGGGCCTGATATCCACTTACAAGGACATTATACTGCTGCTGCTCTATCAAAATTTAAAACGAATGTATGTGGATCTCATTTCTCTCAGAAACAAAAATCAGGTAAAAAAAAATCTGGTAATTCTTTGTTTTTACATTCGTCAGGTCCCAATCAGCCCAAATAGCAAAGAGAAATTAAAAATGCATGACATGAAAGAGTTCGGGTCTTAGGAGGTTAATCTATCTCTGGATCTTGACAGTTAATCCAGTCACACAGCACTCAACCCTATAGAGAGAAGTGCTGTGAAGACAACTTGAAACACATAAAACCGCAGCCACAAAAGTGTCTGAGGACACCTCACACACACACAACATATTCTGGGTAACATACCCGCTATCAAGTGGTTATTGTCATTAGCTTGAATTCCATTCAAACATCTTAGTTTTTCACTGACTCACTTCTGATGGATTAAAATATTAGTTTCCAGAACACCATGACCTGAAGGCTGTAGTCTGCACTGATAGCTTTTAAATTTTTCAGGCAATGCAGCTGAACTTCTTACATTATTATTTAACCAGTCACATTGCCCTAGTCACATTCCTGTTTGGCCATATGAGCATCATAAGATAAAACTGTTTTTGTTTTGGAAAGTGTTAGATTATATGCTGACATTACAGGACATTTCCCCTATTTTTTCACACTTTTCCTCTTGAAGAAATGTCATTAAGTGGCACTCAGCTCGGAACTAAGTGTCAACCTCCAGAACTTAAAAAAAAGGAAAAATGGCCAAGTGTGCCAGCACCTGTTTCACTTATCTGCTTTATTAAAGATCTGACATCTCATCATCATCAAGATTTTTCTTGCTAACATGCTAATAGAATCACTGTATTTTTTTTTAAACTTTGCACTCTATTTTGTTTATAAAACACACATTTTGGCCAAGGTCAAGTAAA